ATTTTTACCAACTACCATAACATCTTTAGAAAGCCAGAATGTTTTACTAGCTGACTCAATTAAATTAATAGAAACTGCGCGAAGTAAAATATGTGAAGTTAGTGGTACAAATGGCACTGATATTAATAAAAAATGTGAAGATGTTTTTAAAAAAAATAATGGTTTTCATATTCTTACGAAAATTTCTAAAGTATTATCCGGTGAAGTATCCACATTAGAAGGTATTCCAGAAAATTTGACCAGCAACGTTTTGTTACATTATAAATACGCACCTATTACATCCGTTGATGTAGAACGTTCCTTTTCACGCTACAACAATTTGTTAACGGACAATCGACGCTCAATGCTGTTTGAAAACTTATACAAATCATTAATTGTTCAATGTAATAACATCGGGTAAAAATTAAAATGTTTATCATCTGATTAATGTTTTGGTTTTTAATTTTAATTTTTTAATTTTAAATATTTTTAATATCACACATTTTGTAAATCATCTATCATTGGCAATAAATAATAATATTGTATTATTATAGTATAAATTGTATAATACAATAAAAAATAAATCATTTAATCATTTTTTTACAATAACATTTTTTTAGAGCATATTTTAAGGGCATATTTTGGTAATTTTTAGGGCATAACTGCATACATATTTTATAGATTTTTAGGGCATATAATTGTTGGCTTTAATCATCATATTACCTATAGCCTATAGGTTGAATATGACTGTTTGAATATTTTTTTAAGGATAAATTTAACTATCTTATACATTTTATAAACTAGGTATTACTTTTATTTGTTTTTTCAGTATTTAATGCATTTTTACGAAAAAGAATATTTTTTCATAAAAGAATATTTTTGCATATTAAAGAATATTTTGATGAAATTATAGAACATAGAAACATCTTATTTCTAAGGTTTTATGTGCATATAAATCCGGTCTCTACGATATAACCAAAGTATCGAAAAACATAATGAGTCTGTTAAAAATAATAGGTAAGTCGATTAATTGATGAAACATGTTTTTGGCAAAACTAGAGCTTTCATTTTGCGAACATGACGAACAACAAGTTACATCTATCAATAGGGCAAATTATGTTGAGTTAATACGACGGTAGATTATAGATGTATACGCACAGCCGTATATTCATAATGCACACAATTGTCCCAGTGGATGTGTTTGACTCAAGAATTAACCGGTAGATCGCAATGCAGTCGAGTGGCTCTAATTTTCATATGTACAATATTGGATACATACAATAGATATTAAAAAATGTCTCATTAAAAATAATAATTGCAAATAAATAAAAAAAGACAAATATACCTATTATGTATTTTAAATTATAAACACAAACATTAACATAAAATTACATAAGAAATAAATATGTTTTCTTAAATGAATTAGAAAAAAAGAAATGAATATTATGGATAGTACCTATATAATAATAATAATAACAATGTAAAATATAATTTTGCTTAAGACAAAATGTATACATAATAATACAAATAAGAAGTTCAAATACAATATAAATAGATGTGTGCTTAATGCTTATGTAACATATAGTTTAGATTCTTTTTTTTTGTCTCTTGATTTCTTTTTACATGACCGATTTTTTTTCCGTTCATATTGTCTCATTCTCATACGAATATAAGAATGTAAGGAACCAACAATAACACTGCTTTTATGTTCATTGCATGGAAATTTTAAGTTCACATTTATAATAATATCTGTGAGTATTTTTCATAACAATCCGAGTAGATTACATTTTTTACAAAAAATTTCTCAGCATTTAAGAAAATATCATAGAAATAAATATTGCAATTCAATAAAAAACCTTTTGTTTTCATACTTACAAGTTCTGCCACAGCTAAATTGGAAGTATCTAGGTTGGTTAAAAAGGAACTAAGACAAGTCTCGCATTTTGTAGTCTTAAGTAGACGACGGCACAAATATCCTGAAGCATAATAAATTACAATTTCCACTATTCTGGTGATTTATAATTATTGGCTATTAAATCTTCTCCTTCCCAATCATATCTAAACGATTTTATAGTTTTTGAAGGACAGTACTACCAGTTTCACCTCCAAAAATGCTTTTATAGTCATAAAAACTTATAGTGCTCTCCATTAGTTCATCATTATTGACTGAACAGTTAAACAATTTTGGAGGTTTTAATAATTTATACGTTGATATAAGACGATATAACTGTTGTAGAGTAGGCATTGCAGGATGGTCATTTTGACAACCAGCTTGTCGTATTGTACTAAAAAATTGCTGAAAAAAAAATATAAATTATAACATGTTCAATTTTTAGAATTATATAAACATTGCAATTAAAAAGGTGACATCAATAATATATTATATAATTAATGACGAATAATAAGCATATCATTTTTGACTTATAATAAGCATATAATTGTTGACTTATAATAAACATATATTTTATGGTGCATACGTTACTCAAATATTAAAAAAAGCGGGTAAGTGGATGTCGCTCTGCTGTATAGTAGGTTACAAGTGGGTCATTGTATAATGGATTGTATTAAACTTGAATTCAATGATATAATATCATTGTATAAGAAAAACGATTCTGAGCTGAGACGGTTTGTCAGTCTGGATATTTTATATAGTTATTATTTATTATATCATGTAAGTTGAATTAATATTATAATTTTTTATTCGTTTCTATGGTGATAAACAAAGCGTTAGAAATTAAAATCCGATTTTAAATGTTTTTTCGTAATTTTTCGGTGGTTTTTCCCGTGGCATTATATAACTATTGAGAAAATCGAAAAATGACCTCTCTAAAGTACCATCTTGGTCCAATTTGCTAAAAGATAAGGTACTATATGTTGAAATCAAAGCACTCCTTCTGGTAGAAATTTTGTATACAGGATATAAAAAAAAAAATAAACACCATTGTAAAACCACTAGCTTCCTCGCTCCGCTCAGAATCTAAAATTGGCAAGTGCATTATTAATTTACTGCAAGAAAATTAAATACAATTGATAGTTTTTTTAATACTTTACCCACAAAATATAAGATACAATTAATATCTTGTATTTTTAAAATCATGGCTGATTATAATACACCATGATTAAAATATATCCTTTGATTTAAATCACAGAATCAGGCAAATACTGTTACTTATTGCGATTAGTTTCAAACACGGTAGATCGGTAGATCTTAGAATCTACCGTGGTTAAATTACAGATTTTTAACAAACTCTATAGGTAATTTATTGAAAATAATTTTTTAAGTCCTTGTGTTATATGACATTAATTCATCTTTGTTTATCAATTCTTATGATTTCAAAATCAAATAGGCTGTAAAATAAATTAAAATAATAAATAAAAGTATTCAGTTAAGTACATGGTAAATATTATTGTAAAATTGAATAATTCAATAATTCAATCACAAAATATGTTTGAATACTAATAATAAATATACAAATGGTAGAATAGATTATAACCACAATAATTAAAATTAAATACATATGTACATTTAGTTTTGAGAACTTAACATACCTATTAAAACAATATTTGAACGTGAATAAATGGGGCCACTAGATTGAGGCGCGCTCTAGTGGCCAAACATTCTTAATATCACGTTTGATGGGACGGTGTTTTGATATCCGTGCGTATACCTCTATAATCTACCGTGGTTAATACACTTAATGGGTACACTCGATCCAAAATTAAGTGGACATCTATCGACATCTACGGTTTTTTCTGGACTCTCTGGGGACATACAAAATGATCTCATTCAATCGATTTCTAATGTTTTATAAAAAACTATAAAAAAGGAATTTAAACATACAAATTTTGTTTCTATAGTTATGGATAAAACAACAGATATCATGTCCAAATCTCAATTATCTACAATTGTACGATATGTGACTAATGAAGGGGTAAAAGAAAGATTTTTGGGATTTGTAGATGTCAGTCATGATCGCTCTGCTAAGTGTTTAGCTGGGCATGTTTTTCGTTTATTAAATGAATATAAATGCATAGATAAATTAGTTGCATAGACTTATGACGTACGAAAGAAGAAGTAACGAAAATGTAAAGTCTTTGTATAATAAACCAGACATACTCTATTTTATTATGAAAAAACGACTGGAATGGTTCGTACATGCATGGAGGGCAGATGGACAGTTAATTAAAAATGTACTCATCAATAAAATAAATAAAACGAGACCCCTAGGACGACCCAAAACCCGATGGATTGACGTAGTTGCCAAAGATATAGTAATGATAGACCAGGACGCAACTTTAGAAACAGCATATCAGAGAGAGAGGTGGAGAGAGATTTTGATGGCAGCGATGGTCCTGAATAGACCGATAAGCTGAAGAGGAAGAAGAAGAAGACTTATGACGTGTCAGGACAACATATCGGTTTACAGATATTAGTTCGCTTAAAATGTAAAACGCGATATTTGTACATTGTTATGCTCATAAACTAAATTTAATATTAAAACAATCTGTTGATTATATAAAGTAATGTAAAATATTTTTCACCACAGAGATAACTCAACTGACTTTTTTTTCTTAATTAGATTTTTCAAAATTTGAACAGTATATCAACAAATTTCCTACAAATGCAATGGACTCGTTGAAAGATAAATATGGGGAATATTTTGATTTTGCAATTCTGCGAAGTAAACTTTCTATTATATACTCATCAACTGAATTTCATAAAATGAACATTCATGAACTTTGGATGTATCTCAAATCTACTGGCTTATCAGATAGCCACCACAGGTTACAAAATTAGCAGTATCATTGAATGTAACCATTCCAGCAACAAGTGCAGGAGCTGAACGCTCATTTTCCTGTTTAAAAAGATGACAACAAACATTAGATAATGGTACGGAACTCTTCGTGAGCAAGTCCGACTAGCACTTCGCCGGCTTTTTTTAAACATAATTTAAGATAATACATAAGTAGATAATAATTATATACATAACATTTATATATAGAATGCATGGACACATCGATTAAATATTACTGCTGTCAAAGTGAGATAAATATGAAGATGCGGTTTCGGGTAAATTCGGTTGTGGCAACAAAACTCCTTCTGGAGTATCCTGCAGTTGGTTAATAGTTTGGTACATAGTAGTTGGACAAGATAAATGAACTGGTTGAATAATAGATGATTCATTATATCCAGCTACATTACTGGGATATCTACGATGTAATGGAAGTGACGTAATTGGTTGAATTGGGAGATATCTTAGAATAGTTTGATGTGGAAGAACTAGACAAAGGTGTTGATGAGCGAGAACAAACTTCATCAAATGGCGTTTTTGTTGGAGTCATTACCTTATGTGATATTGTTAAGTTCCCCGTTTCACCTAAGAACAAAGTTTTTTTGATAATTTTTTCAGCAAATAATGTTTGTGTCTTGTCAAAGTCTCGAAGTTTCAGTGCTATCCCTTTACCAAAAATGTCATATCGATCATCTTGAGATGCTGGACGTTTAAAGTGATTCTAAACGGTTAACAAAACATCTTTTGTTAAAGCTGCTTCAGAATTTCTTTTTAATGGTCTTGTAGATTGAGATTTAGTACAAGTAGTATCTGTAGAAGTAGTACTTGTGAGAGTAGATATAGGTAGATCTTCAGAAGGAAGGTCCTCATTTGATTCTATTGCTGTTTCTGATAATTTTTCCGTATTATTCTGAACAATATTTTTTACTTTAGTTTCCACGAACAGTCAATGAATGGAAAAATATATCGATGTTATTTGAAGAAAAATGGAACTTTCCTCATCTACTTGGAGTAATAGATGGAAAACATATGGCTATAACTGCACCAATGGGAAGTGGTTCGGAGTATTATAATTATAAAAAAACATCACAGCATGGTTTTAATGGCTATAGTTGATGCACAATATAAGTTTATTTTGTGTGATTTTGGAACTAATTTAAGAGTTTCGGATGGAGGTTTATTACAAAACACAAAATTCTTTCAAATGTTACAAAATAATAAGCTTAACATTCCAGCTGATGAACTTGTCACAAATAGCTCAAGACATATACCTTACGTTTTTGTTGCTATATATATCTAATTTTGTAATAAAAGTATATGTTGGTTTTTTTTCTTTACAATTTTTCGCACGTGAATATTTATAATTTTTTTGTTTAATAGTATTCAAGTTTTAAAGACTGAGGTATAGGCCTACCGTTATGTTTTAAAATTATATTTTAATTGTTTTCTTAAGCATATTGTTATTTATTACTAAAATGTTAAGAAAGTTCTTTAACTCTTGAGTCTTAACTACAACTCAATCATTTACCAAATAAAATATTTGTGATCATTTTAATCTTTAAGTTATCTGTATAAGTCTATACAATTCAAATTTTATTATTAATAATGTTCTATTGTTATAAAAATAAAATTTGTATGTTTATTTAAATAAATAATAAGAATTAATTGTTTGATTAATGAATATTATTAATTGTTGACAATTCTTTTATTATTTTTATTTATCTAGTTATTTTTTCTTACATTGTGAAATGTTTTGTGCCATATTTTTATATCGTTTCTTAAAAAGCATTTTTTTCACAAAATTAACTGTATAAAACTTATCAGTCTCTAACATACTGGGATGGTAGGGATCGGAGCGGGCCAGATACAGTCAGTTTCTTGTATATCTGTCAAGGTTTACTTTAGTCTAGATTTGGTTTGTCATGTGGTGTCATGTCATGGTGGTTGATGGTTTACCCAGTTGTCCAAAGCCAAGAAGTGGATGGAATATACCAGAAGACCTGACTCTACAACTGGCTGATCCTTTCTTTGACGTTTCGGGAAAGGTTGACATGCTCAGAAATTGGTACTACATCACTCTGAGCTACGTGCTTCATTGGACAAGCATGTGAAGACAAATTTAAAATCCTATGTAACGATGTGTTCGAGACATATAGATCAAATAGATCATATAGATTCAGTTGATAATCGGCTATCATCGAGGACGGTGGTTGGTCGTTGCTTTTCTCTCGCTTATAGCGTTTTGTTCGTCCGACGTTCGACCTTTCAACGGTCTATCTTATACTATAATAAATATTACAGTTGTTCGTTTATCTGCTTATTCAATAATGTTGTGTAACACATGCAACGAAGACATATTCGAAGACGATGTTATAAAGTGTTCGATATGCAATGAACACTTCCACTTTATGTGTTTCACTCTCAGAGAAGCGACTTTTCGTAAAATGTCTAAGGAAACCAAATCTAATTGGGCTTGTATTAAATGCAAGTTCAGTGTTAACGTTTCATCACGTAATTACCTCTGTTCCCAGCACAAGCAACTAAAACTACAATAATCTAACTGACGCAGTTAACTTTATGAGTTATAAGTTTGACGACTTTGGTAAACAATTACAAAAATTACTACTCTCAATCAAAGAAATGAGAGAATAAAACCAAGTACTAAAAGATCAGAATGTTAGGCTCAACAATGATGTTATATCACTGGCAAACCGTGTTAATACATTGGAACAAAGGCTTTCAATAATTTTATTGAAATTATTGTCCCGAAAATCAAGGATGAAAACTGTGCAGATACGACTAAAACAATCTTAGCTAAACTAGAATTCAATTCAACGGTCAGTAAGGCGTTTCGTGTTCTATCAAAAATCTTGAACAAACCCAGGAAACTAGTGGCTAAGCTGTGCAATTCTCAATGCAGTAGTAATGCAATAATCAACTCAAGAAAGCAAAAACCGAGTGGTAATATGTTTAGCGAAAACTGGGGGACGGGTCCAATATACGTAGAACGTCTTGTCTATTGTACTATTGTCTTGTGGGGGCCGGGGAGTCGGGCTAGGCATGTCGTTAGTGAAGACGCCGTGCCGCCGTAGCATGAGGGTCGCGAGTCGGTGTCGACAATCGTGGCAGGAGGACCGATAAGAGAGTATTGTGGCGGGCGAGGGACTGCCACAATTATAGATATTGTTGAGGTTATTGAGGCTGACTAAGTGCAAAATGAAATTACACAGTCGCAATGTTATAAATGCCAAAAATATGGCCATACCTCAATAATGTGCCGGGTAGAGCAGCCGACGTGCTGGAATCGCGCCGGGTGCCATGACTCTCGCAGCTGTCAATCAGAAATTGTTAAGTTCGTTAAATGTCGATCAAAGAGCCATAAGGCCTCTTCCAGTAGCTGTCCATCCAGAACAGCGGCTGTAAGGACTCTTCTCCGGCGTATGGTTTTTGCCCCGAGATTAGCCCCACAATGAGTGCAGAAATCAAAGTAGTGCAGCACAATTTAAATAGGGACCGTATGGCCAGCCACCAACTCAAGGAGCTATGCGTGGAACAGAAAATCGATTTCGTTCTGGTGCGGGAACCGCTAATACTCAACAATACGGTTTATGCTTTCGAAACCTGCAAACGTGCGCATATCAGCAAGAACGCTGGAGCGGCAGTAATAGTTTTGACCCGTTGATTTCAAACTATTCTCTTAAGTGCCTACTCGTCAATCCACACGGTAGCGGTAAGAGTAATTTTCGGTCCTAGACCGCGGGACCATGTTATATTTGTGTCGGCCTACTTTAAGTATAACATACCGAAAATCCTGCACACCGAGCGCCTGGATCAAATCCTGGTTGGGAAAAAACGTATACTAATCGGTGCGGACACTAATGGCCACTCCAAACTCTGGTTTTTGGAGGCCAGAAATCGCCGTGGTAGAACCATAGAGGAGTTTATAGACAGACATGGTCTAAAGGTTCACAACATTGCTGGCCAAATAAACACCTTTCGCCGACACGACAATAGGACATCTAGTATAGATGTGACGATGATGACGGCTGACATTGGGCACACTGTCCGGAACTGGGAGGTTAGTGACCACCGGGTCAGCAGCTTCAGCCTATTAGTAAGTAAACCACCCCCGTGAAACCCGGGACCTGTGCGGTATAATGTAAAATCAGCAAACTGGGAAATGTACAACTCAACTCTTCTCGGTGAGGTAGGCGGCATTCCCTACGATAGCATCGACTCGATGACCGAGGGCATTAGCAGAGCCCTGAAAACGGCAGTGGATATCTTTGTCTAAGAAAAATCCGACAGGAGCTCCGGGTAAGAATCCTGGGTGGTCCCTGGAATTGACCACTCTTGAATTCTGTTTTCAGTTGTTCATGTAAAATAACTCAAATAATAAAGAAAAAGAACGAATCTATTGAAATTGTTTTGTCTGCTGATACATATAGAGGGAGAGATACTCGTTGGAATTGCCGAATAGAAGCTGTTAAAGCAGTATTTGAACATTTATAAGCAATATTTATAAACAATATTTCATTCACTACACAAAATTGCAGATTATGACACTTTTGCAGGTCCTGATGATAGTTTGTTACTTGAATCAATTAAATCCTTTGATTTTATTTTTTGTTTAAATTAACTAAAATTTGTTTTTAATGAAACTAATATTTTATCAAAATACCTTCAAACGCCATCAATTAATTATTCATCGGTGCGTTTGGTGGCACAGCAAACAATTATCAGATTTAAAGATAGTCGAACTCAAGATAAATTTAATAGCTTATGGATAGAAACCAAAGATATTGTTGATTAGAAGAAGCAAAATTACCTAGAGAAAAAAAAATTAAGGATTATTATTTAATAAATGTTTTTTTATGTTGTTTTGGATATAATTATTGCCGGTGTAACAGGCAAATCTTACCCCCAGGATATTCTTACCGGGGGGGTAAGATTTTCCTAGGATAATTTTACCCCCGGTAAGATATTCCTAGGTTATTTTTACCCCCGGTAAAATTATCCTAGGATAATCATACCCCCCCAGGGGGGTAAAAATAACCTAGGATAATCTTACCCCCGGTAAGAATATCCTAGTATAATCTTACCGGGAGGGGGTACGATTATCCTAGTCATATTTTACACCCGGTAAGAATATCCTAGGACATTTATACCTCCATAGGGGGTAAGATTTTCCTAGTATAATCTTACCCCCGGTAAGAATATCCTAGGCATAGTATACCGGGAGGGGGGTATGATTTTCCTAGGATATTTGTACCCCCCGGTACAATATTCCTAGTACTATATATTAAGTTTAAAAACGCTGCAAAAATAATTTTTTTTTATATAATCGATTTGTTTTTTAACACTTAAAATAATGATAAAGAAATTTACTTTTATAGATCATTACTTACGCGCAAATACAATGCAAAATTGAAAAAAATTATAAACACTCGAATAGTACCTATACCTAACTATCGAACTAGTAAACTATTCAAACTATATCGTGAGTGTAGGTATCTAATTCATCG